TTATCTCCATTTTTATTATTTTCATGAATTTAGTCATTCCTTATCTCAACTTTTTATTATATTTGCATTATATACTTAAATTGATAAATGGGTTACATGACCTATTTAAATTAACGGGTTAAACAACTCATTAACCGAGTCGTGTCATTACATGACCCGTTTATTAAATAGGTTATACAAATTGTGTTATGTTACTTATTTAATAAACGATCATGTTCATGTCAATGGATCCTGACACAGGATTGTGTTCGACTTTACTTGTTAAGAATACTTATAAATTGACATGACGCTATTATGACCCGCCAACACAAATTGTCACTCCCATATAATGGGGAGGGTATTAGGTTTATAAGAGTAGGTATATAATAGGGCTAAAATCTAAAAACCCTCTTATTGTTTACAAAAACTATCTACTAACCCCCTCAACTACATAAACTATCATACCACCCCTTCCCCGTTAGTTGACCATCTAAAATTAACGGGCAAATCACATGATTGTCACATGCATCCCTTGTTAGTTTTAATTGATCAAAATGCCCTTATAATGATGTAATTACCAACTTGTCCTTCCCTACAATATTTATCTTCTTTTCTACTGTCGCACATCTATGGATTCCGGCAAAAGTGAAGGCACGATGCGGTGATAAGGCGAACAGTGCTGGGTCTTGGGTTCTCAACAAGGTGAACAGTACTAGGACAAAGCGAACACTCATATTTCTCTCCATAGGACCTTTACAGAGATGCAATTGTGTAGAGAGAGAGCCGATTGCTGTGAATATGGTGGTTAGAGTTTGGAACAAAAATAAAAATTATAGATTTTTCCTTACCTAAAAAAATTAGGGATTTTTAGGTGTGTTGTTAAATTGGGTGAGATTTAATTCAATACAATTATTGTACATGCCACCATCCACTTTGTGATCTCCTGCATATCATTGATGGTCACCTACGATGACATACTTCAACGAGCTTCTTAGCTGTCATGGGAGTCCAATCATGAATGGTGGCGAGCAATTCGTCGACATCATCGAGGAAATTAGTAGAGGCATTGACAGTGTGTGTTAGGGTTTTGTCTTGAAATTGGTTGTAGAATTAGAAAGATGGAGAAGAGGTAGTGAGAAGGGACATGTGACACCCACAACCACCACTTCAGATCGTCACCGCGGCGCTGTAAATCTTTGATCACCACATCTACACAACAAAACAGCCAAATCGACCTGAGGTCATCAACTGTAGAAGCCCACACAGGGGCGCTCATCCATGATTTTTGGTTTGTTGCAATCAATTCCCTATATAATTACTATTAATTATATAAAATTACTATATATATAATTATAATTATAGTTATATATATAATTATAATTATATATATAATATTCAGTTTACATATTATGATTATATAACCGTCTGGTCAGCCATATTTCTATACCAAAATAAGTCATATACTCACTCTTGGTTTCTCAATTTTGATAGTCATTTCAAAAGTCAATTACCTGCTTGGTTTCTACAATGGTGGTCTATTCATGGCGCCATCCCAGAAATCTTGCCACTATCCCTTGCAGACCAAGTTAAATATTTCCACACTGTGCATAAAGTTAACAAACATAATTCACAATTTCCAGATACATAATTAACATTTCTAACAGTGCAGAAGCTTGGCTATAAATACAGGGGCCAATTCCTTTGCAAAGTAGGCTTCATTCCGAGAGAGAGGATTCAAGTTTCAGTTTATGTTATTATCTGTTTATGATATTTGTACTTTCATTTTATTATATCTCTAGTATGCTGTATACAACCTTCTACCAGTAACAATTCTGTTTGTAAGTTATCATTTGTAATTATATCTTTCTTTAATATCAGTTAATTCCAGTCATTTTATTTTAGTCATTTTATTTTATATTATATTATACTTTGGCAGATTACACACCGCCTTATAATTATCTATTTACATTTTATGTTGTTTATGTTATTATTATCTGTTTATATCTTGTTTATATCTGTTTATCCATTTTAAGTTAATGTGCGCTTCCCCTTTGGTATCAGAGCCATTTGGTGGTTGATTGAGTAATCTATTCTGTTCCTTTTCTCTAAACTTATCTTGCTTTGTTGATTCTGTTAGAACAATCTATTTATTATTTCTCACTTTGTAGTCCTATTTCGTTTCTTGTGAGTCCAGATCCAAACAGTAAGTTCTAGAACCAAACAGTAAGTCCCAAAGAGAGGGCCTGAGCGGTGCAGCATGAGCGGATGAGCGCGTGGATAGGGTATAGATACCACTTGGAGAGAATCATGAAAATAGTCTGTTTTAATCAGTCAACCCATCAAGAGTAGTTTGGCAATATGATATCCAGGATAATAAATGCATTCATCACCACTATGTTAAATGGTGGGATTTTTTCAAAGTAGACAGGATTATTGGATATGTCAAAGATGAATATCCCAAACAATCCTCAATCCAAGTTACTCAGGCTCAGGTCACTCCCCCAGTAAAGTAAGTCGTTCAACAAAAACAGTCTTCCCCTACTGGGACTACTTTCTCCACTAAGTCACGAAAACATGCTCCCAAATCAGAAATAAAAGAGCTCAAAAAGATGGCAGCTTTTCTTTATTACTTGGGGAAGAGTAGTCATCATGTAATTTTGAAGAATCATACTGAAAAGGTTTACTAATAATATTTAAATGAGGATTTAGAGCATTAAAATTTACAACAAAATCAGAAGGTGTAGGAGAGGTAGGTGTAGACCTACCTATATGATGACTCTGTGTTTCAAGATAGTCAAAATTCATACCAAGATCCGTTCAATTAAAGATTGATATGGGAAAAGTCAAAATTGCTACAGTAAAAGTCAAAATCACTATTTCTACAGTAATTGTCGGCAGAATCACTATTTCCACAATATCCCCGACAAGATATTGTTCATCTACAGTAACTTACTAATCACAACTCCAGAGGTTCTTAGGATCCCTCAATTACATTGCTGATTTCTACAAAGATCTTCGTAAGCAATGTAAACCACTCTTTGAGTGTTTTCAAAGTAATCCTCTTCCATGGACTTCTGTTCATACTAATATAGTCCAATCTATCAAAGAATATGTTAAGACATTGCCCTGCCTTGGCATTCCAACTACTGATTCTTTTAAAATCATTGAAACTGATGCCTCTGACATTGGTTATGATGGCATCCTTAAACAGCGAGTCAGTCCAAGCGCACCTGAACAATTAGTTCGATTCCAATATGTTTTTACAAAAGCACAAAGTAATTATAGTACTATTAAAAAATAAATTTTATCTGTTGTTTTGTGTATTAGTAAGTTTCAAGATGATATTTTAAATCAAAAGTTTTTAGTCAAAGTTGATTGTCAAAGTGCAAAATATGTTTTAGAAAAAGATGTTGAAAATATTGCTTCTAAACAAATTTTTGCCCGGTGGCAAGCTATCTTAAGTATATTTGATTTTGATATAGAATATATCAAAAGAAGTGACAATTCTATTCTAGATTTTCTTACCAGAGAATTCTTGCAGAAATCTGATGGCAGATCGGCAGCCTCCCCTGAGGCCTCAACTAGTCAAACCCTTTGATATTTGGTCCGGTAAAACTCCAGTCACCAGATCCCAGTCACAATCCTCTGCATTAGCAGTAACTAACCGATTCCAACCACTTGCCTCCCCATCAACCTTTAAGTCAGCTTTGGTCAATCCAGCAACAGACCCCTTCCAAGTCCAACTGAAAAGTCCAGCTCGGTCCCAAGTCCAAATATCAACTACTAAAAAACGACCAAGCCCATACTATGAAAAACCTCCTATTGTTCTATTTTGCATCGAACCACATGTTAGTCACATCAAAGATCCTATTGAGTTAGCACGATACTACTTCCCAAGTAACTTTCACTTTGCCCCAAGTCATCCCCAAAAAACTCTTACATTTTTTAGAGACATCTTATACCACACTGAATCCATTACCATTAAATCAATGGTAATGGATTATACAGTGCAGAAGAAATGTTTTCAATTTCCAATATTCCCCGTATCAATTTCCAATCCAGATACCAAAGATGACAGTTAGAAATGTTTTCAAATGCTTCCAGTGTTCATCAATGGACTTGGAAAAAAGAAGAATATCATCAATATAAACAATGGAAAAATGGCTGTAAGGATTAAAAATATCATTGGAATTCACTAGGGGCATTTTTTAATCCCAAAGGCATAACTTTCCACTCATAATGACCAAAAGGAGTGGTGAAGGCAGTCTTATATCTATCCTTTTTACTTAAACGGATTTGCCAAAATCCTGACTTCATATCGAATTTGGAAAAGATGACAGCTTGACTAAGGCGGCTAATAAGGTCTTTCTTATTAGGGATAGGATACCTAATCCATTCTAAAACCTTATTGAGTAGTTTATAGTTTATGACTAAGCGAGGAACTCCTCTTTCTATTTCAGAGTTTTTCTGACCATAGAAAGTTGGGCAGGACCAGGGTGACTTACTTTTTTTTTGATAATCTTCTTATGTAGAAGATCATCAATTTCTTTTTTACAAAATTCCATGACTTCTGGACTCATTTGAATGGGTTTGCTTTAGTAGGAATGTGTCTTCTTCTAAAGCCTTTAATGTAAGGTAACTTGACGGAATGTCTTTTTATATGCCAGAAGGTAGTTGGGAGATCAGAACAGACTTGATTTTTTATCTGCTGTTCAAAATCTTGAATTTTTTGTTGGAGCATTGGATTGGTTAACTGATTATCTATGCGTTTATAATTAAAATTATGTATAACTATATATAATTATATATATAATTACTATAATTATATTTAAATAAATATTAATATACTATTAAGGTATTCTTGTCATTTTATAAATAATATATTTAATTTTTAAATAAATATTAATATACTATTAAGAGCATTCTTGTCACTTTCCAGGAATTTAACAGTTAATGGTATAGTTTATGTTATATCGGGTTTTTTTAATACTGGAAAGGGTTAGTAGATAGTTTGAATGAACAAGAGGGGTTTTTTAGCCCCTGCGTAATATCGCCCCAACAGTTTAGCATTGGAATCGGATAACAAGTGCCTGCGCTCGTTACCAGAGCTTAAACTTCCCATTGCTTAAACTTCCCAGAGAGAGAAACCCCTGAAACCCCAGTAGCTCCTCCCCTTCTCTCTCTCTCAAACGCGCGCACACACTCTCTCTCTAGAAATAGATTTTCAGGTGGTGGTACTCGCCGCTTCAAAAAATCTCGTGCCTCTGGTTTCCAAGGTTTTCTCCTCTCAACCTCAAAAACAACCAATGCACATATACATATACACCTTAGTAACTACTATATCTATATATATGTATGGATAACATTTTCTGAAAATTTGTACAGGAGATTCCAAAAGCGCTACTTCCTGTGGCGAACCGGCCGGTCCTCTCCTAAGTTCTCGAACTTTTGGAACAAAGTAATTTCAAAGATCTCATTGTTGTACGTCTCTCTCTTTCTCTACTGTGCCCTAATTACTTATCGGTTTGGTTTTCACTGGAACCATTTTGTTTTTTGTTTTTGTAATTTGCGAGTGATCGATTGATTTTTTTTTTATTTGTTATTTATTTACAAAAGGAGTCTTTAATGCTATGACTTTTGATTTGTTAAGGAAAATTATGATTCTGTGCAAATTGGGGTTCTTGATTTGCTCAGTGGTGTGCTGTGTAGGTAGTTGAAGGGCAAGACGCAACTCTTCAGGTTGGTGCTTGGATTTCGGGGGCTTATGTTGATCGTCTACATGTTGAGGTAACTATCAACTATATTAGAGAATTGGCTTGTTAAAGCTACTCAAGTGGTGATTGACCTCTATGATTGTAACTTCTGGAATTCTTACTCTTTAGAAGTTAGGAAGAACTGAATCAGAACCATATAAGAAAGGTTTGTTTAAATTAAACCAATCAGAACCATATAAGAAAGGTTTGTTTCGGTCCAGTTTAGTGGATTAAGCTTACTTTGTAATATCTTTAATAAAACTAAATTAGTTTAACTTAAACCTAATTTTGATGACCTAAACAAAAAGTTCCTCTATTTACCTACTTGATGTTGCATTTCTATATCTAGAATATGCTAGTAACATAGCAATAATATATACATTTCAAGAACTGAAAAACTATTTTGTTAATATATTTATGAGAATGAGGATCAAGATTAAAGGACATGTATATATATATATATATATATATATATATAACCTTTATTTAACTTTATATAAGGCACACTGCGTGTGGTGGTGATGTTCGTACATTTTACCCTCCCTTTGTGCACTGGGCTGCCCTCTTTTTTATTTTATATTTTTTATGTAAGCATATGGTTAACTAATTTATCAAGTAATAAAATGAAAGCAAATATATTTATGTTTAAGTTTTTCGGTTCGGTTTTTGTGACATCTAAACCATGAACTGAACCAATCTCAACTGTTCTGCTAATCTTGGAATTGAAATCGAACCGTTGATCCACAGATGACAAAACTAAACCAAACCATACAGTTTGGATTGGACTGACGATTTTAATGGATCCATGTGCACATCTAATTACTAGACAATGCACAAATAGATGATTGAACATCTTCTCACCCCTCTGCATATGCAGGATCAGTTAATTACTGCGTCCTCTTCATTAGGTTGTTAATTGTTGAGATTTTTTGAGAACTAAAATCCGTAGAAAATGATTCTTTTGAAAGGGGCTGTTGTGTGTCATTAAGCTTTTCAAGGGATTCTTGCCAACCCTCAACTCCCGTAGAAAATCTCATCGTATAGGATCCTCACATAACCAAATCTATTTCAAAGAATTGACCCCGCACTCCGCAACAAGAATCGAGAATAGATTGTCGTATACTCAACTCACCTTGTCTCAACTATTTGGGCTTTTTTGCCATTCCGCTCTGTCTAAGTTTAGGCTTAAGTTAATCCGAACACTACTGTGTTTTTTCCATACCATCTCATGGTGCTGTTGGTATTCCCTTTTACCTTGCGCTACCTTCAAATGTTGATGTTGTCACTCTTTGTTACAAGTGCATCTTTTAATCTTTGTTTGACGTGGACAAATCTCTTAGATGTCTTCTCTGGTTTTATAATCAAAGGGTTGCTAGATCTACCTTCTCAAACTCCATCTCTTAGTTATATGAAAAAAATTATTGAATTAATGGTCTTTGGGTTCAGGGGGAAGCATTTCTGTGCAAGTAGTAGGGAAATACATGTGTGAAGGGCAAGAATGATAATCAATGGTGAAATCTAGACTGATTATTTTCTATAGTCCATGTGTCATGCTGTATCAATAGCACCTCCAATATCAAATTTAGATTGTCGTAGTATGCTATTAAGTGATGGGTGCGCTGTAATGAGAGTCCCCTTATTCTCATTGAACAATAAAGCTCTTTCACTCAACTTATTTGAAGTGTTAGATCGTCCAGCACCCATTAGTAGAGTCATTGCTGTTAACTCTTGAAAAAATCAATATCTTGTCTCTCTACTTCCAACGAACGGGGAAATGGTCACTTCAATATCAATGCACATGTGTATTGGTTGAAGCAAGGACCTGATCCCGGATGGTAGAGAAAGAATCCAAGAGAGCTTTTAACGGTACCAAATCAATTTGAAATTCTAATCTGTAATGACTGTATTGGTTGGAAGCCAGGACCCTGATCCTGATGGTAGAGAAAGAACCCAAGAGAGCCAGTAACGTTAATGAATCAAATGGAGTTCTAATATATAGTGGCTGATAGCTTTCACTAAATAATGGGGAGGGGTGTTTTTTTTTTCCCACCATCATCTGATGGAATAATATTTTTTTTGATAAATAAAAGAATATTATTAAAAGACGCCCAAGAGGGGAGTGAAACCCAAGGAAATACAAAAGAGCACAAAGGACTCAAGCCTTCATAGAGGCTAAAAAATCAACAATTTCCCCCAACGATCTATGATCTCTCCCTGAAACCCAACAAAAAAGAGTTGAAATAATCGAGAATTTAAGCACCGAAATCGACATCGCCTTTCCTTCAAAGTATCTCCTATTCCTTTCAAGCCAAATACACCACCACACACAAAGCGGCGTAACTCTCCACGAATCCTGACTGAGAGCCCCCGCATGGCAACCTCTCCACATCTCAATCAACTCTCTAGTAGATCCTGGCATAACCCAATAAAACCCAAATAAGCCAAGCATCAAATCCCAACACTCTCTAGCCAAAGAGCAATGAATAAGAAGGTGATCCACAGATTCCTCATCACGAAGACACATATAACAACGATTGACCACCACCTGGCTTCTCCTTCTCAAATTATCCTGGGTTAAGATCCTACCCAGAACCGAAGTCCACACAAAGAAAGCCACTTTGAGAGGAGCCTTAGAACGCCAAACAGACTTCCAAGGAAAACGAACTCCAGGATCAAAAGAGAGGCACTTGAAGAAAGACCTCACCTTAAAATGCCCCTTGGAGTTTGCGACCCAATACCAACAATCCAAATCCTCCACCACAATCCTTTGGCGATATAACAACTCCAAGAGACGAATTGGCTCATCAATCTCCCAATCCTGAAAGGCACGCCTGAATCGAACATCCCAAACCAGTCTCCCATTATCAAGATGATAACAGTTAACCACCAAGGCCTGCCTATCCGAAGCAATCCTGTAAAGCTGAGGAAAGGCAAGAGCAAGAGGAGCATCACCACACCACACATCCTCCCAAAAACAAATCCTCCTCCCATCTCTAAGACGAAACCGAATGTGCTTGGAAAAATCATCCCAACCCTTCCGAATAAATTTCCAAACTCCCACCCTCCGAGGATTTCTAACTTCCAAAGAGCTCCACCCTCCTCTCATCTCTCCAAAACGACAAGCCACAACCCTCCTCCAAAGCCAATGTCTCTCCACACCAAACCTCCACAACCATTTTCCAAGAAGGGCCTTATTAAAGGGCACCAATCTACGAAGACCCAGCCCACCATTCTGAATAGGCCTGCATACCTGATCCCATCTCACCAAATGGAACTTAAACTCTTCACCTCTGCTCCCCCATAGAAAATTACGCTGCAACCTCTCAATCCTCTCCGCAACTGAAGATGGAATCTGAAAGAGAGAGATAAAATAAGTGGGAAGGCTAGAGAGGGTACTCTTAATCAGAGTGACCCTGCCGCCCTTGGAAAGATACTGCTTCTTCCAACCTGCCAACCTTCTCTCAAATCTATCCACAACTGGATCCCAAATCCCCACACACCTCGAAGGAGCTCCCAGAGGCAAACCTAAGTAAGAAATGGGAAAAGCAGCAGTTCGACATCCAAGGATGTCAGCAAAAGTCTCAATCTCAGGAACCTCCCCAGCAGGCACCAAAACGCTCTTGCCCACATTCACCTTAAGGCTAGAGACGACTTGGAACCAAATCAAGACACATCTCAGATATCTAATCTGGGACACATTCGCATCACAAAGAATCAGAGTGTCATCAGCAAACATCAGATGAGAGATCTCCAACTGGGAAACAGCATCCCTGCCTACCCGAAAGCCTCTCACAAAACCCAAATCAGTAGCCCTTCGCATCAATCTACTAAGGGCCTCCATCACAAGCAAGAACAAGAAGGGGGAGAGAGGATCCCCCTGTCTCAAGCCCCTTGAGCTAGAGAAAAAACCGGTAGGAGCACCATTAACAAGGACCGAAATGCGAGCACTGGAAATACAAAACTGAATCCATCTCCTCCACCTATCACCGAACCCCATCCTCTCCATCAAGTACAGAAGAAAGCTCTAACTCACATGGTCATACGCTTTCTCAATGTCCAACTTACAAAGAACACCCGGGACCCCACTACACAATCTGTAGTCCACACACTCACTAGCAATAAGGACTGAATCCAAAATCTGACGGCCTCCTACAAAAGCATTTTGAGATTCCGAAATGATACCATCCAAAACTTTCCTCAATCTAGAAGAGAGCACTTTGGCAATCAACTTGTAGATACAACCCACCAAACTAATAGGGCGAAAATCCCTCACATCCAATGCCCCCCCCTTTTTCGGAATGAGAGCGATGAACGTGGCATTCAAGCTTTTCTAAAAAAATCCCCGAGAATGGTAAGCATGGAAAGTGCCCATCACCTCTCCTTTAACCACCCCTTAGCAATCAAGAAGAAACCTCATGGTGAAACCATCTGGACCTGGGGCCTTATCCCCATTGCAGCTCTTCAAAGCAATCAGCACTTCCTCCTCAGAAAAAGGCACCTCCAAACCCAAGCACTCCTCCTCAGAAATAGAGGCAAACTGCAACCCTTCAAGCAAAGGTCTCCACTCAACAGTCTCAAAGAACAACTTCTCAAAGAACTCTGAAATTCCTTTGCAGATGTCCTCCTCCTTACAAAGAGTAACCCCCTCAACCCGAATCCTCCCTATGTGATTTCCTCTTTTATGAGCATTGGCCAATCTGTGGAAAAATTTCGTGTTTCTATCCCCCTCCTTGAGCCATAAGGCTCGAGATTTTTGCCTCCATGAGATCTCCTCTATGATAGCAATCTCAGAAAACTCGGCCTTGCAGTCTGCCCTCCTAAGCTTCAAAGCTTCCACCAAATCCCCTTGACCCTCTATACAGTCAATAGCCGCAATCTCCGTAAGAACCCGATTTTTTCTCCATTCCAGATTCCTAAAGACCTCTTTATTCCAAGTCTTAAGATTCTCCTTTAAAAGACGTAATTTGCCTGCTAGCAGATGACTAGGGGTACCCACCACACCATACCCCTCCCACTAAAGACGAACCCGCTCAAGAAAGCCCTCAGCCCGCAACCACATATTCTCAAATCTGAAAGGAGATTGTCTACTGCACAACCCGCCACAATCCAACAACAACGGAACATGGTCAGAGATAGGATGAGGCAACGATGCTTAAATAACTTCCGAGAACCTCTCCTCCCACTCCCCCGACACAAGGAATCTGTCAATCCGGGAAAGGGTAGGAGGGGTACGGTCACTGGACCAAGTAAACGGCCCTCCAACCAAAGGCAAATCAACCAACCCGAATTCATCAATAAACTCCGAGAAAGCCACCATATCAGACGTCCACCTACCACCCGTTGACCTCTCAAAAGGAGAGCGAACCACATTGAAGTCCCCACCAATACACCAAGGCAAACACCATCGACTTCTAATCTCCCCCAACTCCTCCCAAAGCAAGTGGTGCACACCATCCTCCGAAGGACCATAAACACCTGAAAAGACCCAATTAAAACCATCCTCAACCAAAGCAAGAACACAAGAAATAGAGAAGCGCCCCACCTGAGCCTCTACTTTAGACACCTCTCTGTAATCCCATATGATCAAGATGCCCCCCGAGGAACTAATAGCTTCCAAAGCAATCCACTCCACAAATCTCCCAGCCCAAAAACTCCTCACAATCCTATCAGACATCGAAGAAAGTTTGGTCTCTTGGAGACATACCACATGACCCCGACCTTTACGAATAACCGACTTCACCACTTTCCTCCTAACCGGATCATTGAGACCCCGGACATTCCATAAAAGAATTTGTAACTTCATAGGGAAACACTTTAGAAAGCAAACCCTCCCTTCCTTCCACCACCTCTCCCTCCTGATCTGGACCCCCTATTTCTCCTTTCATACGTGATAAAGTCATTGGGGCTTTGCATCACTGTCTCCCCTCTCTCCTCCTGCAACCTTATCTTACCACCTGCTTTTACCTGAAAATGAGAATTGAGGACATCATTAAACAAACACAGTGCCTCATCCACTCTACCCTCAAAAGAAACCCCCAACAAAGGACCCACTTCCAATCCCTTCTCCCTTACCCACTCCTTCTCAAGATCATTCACTCCGACAACATTCGAGTTGCTAACCCAATTACCCCCAAGAAGAACAACAGCCAAAGGAACAGCCAAATTCATTGCTTGTTCCAAGTCTTCCCATGGAATCATGCCCGAGTCACCATCCAAAGAAGAACCTGCAGCTCCCTCCCAATCATCAAGAACAGAAGAGGAATGCGAGCAAAACTGTGAAACAGGCTCCTCCTCTGTCAAAACTCCTCCTGAATCACCAAGAAAGCCTTTCGACGCCAAATGGTCCCATATCTCCTTCAACAGAAAGACAGCCGTATCATCATCAAGCTTCACCTTCACATCCCGACCAACACAAACTGTAACTCCCTCGCACGAACCTTCACCTCACCGAGAGAAACCAAGTCTAAACCCAGAATCACCATCCTGTCTGTCCACAAGAACGGAGTCCCTCTCACCCTCCGATTCTTTAGAGAACGAAGCAGAAGCTGTCCCACCCTTCACCCGTTCCAAAGACATTGTCGACTCCCCCAAAAAAAGGAGAAGAAGAAGAAGAGAAACACGGTTTAGTAGGAGAAGAACAAGAAGGAGCTGAAAACATACCCGATTCAAAACCGGATTGTGAAGATACCACCCATTTTTGCTTATCCTTTCGTGACCATTTCTTACGAAAAGCGGGAAGGATCACCTTTTTCTTCGGCAACCGACGTCTTAGGACCGGAACCTTCACTCGCCGATCAACATTCGTTCTCGTTTTCATCGACCCAGCAACACAAGGAGCTCTATCATCTCGCAAGGAGGGCAAGGGCTCAAACCTGTTAGACACCGGCCCAGATCCACAACTCGGCCCACCTTTTAATCCCGCAGACCCGTCAACATTAACTTCTTTAGAAGACTGGACGCTCAGCCCACCAACCACAGCACAAGGAACTTGCACATCACATTCAGATCCCAAAGAAACAGAACTAGGTCTCTTAGAAACTGAAATAGGCCTTTCAGGCCCAACAAGCGGCCCAACAGACTTAGGCCCACCATTGCAAGAGATAGTAGCCTCGACACCAAGCCTTCCAACAGGCCCAACTGAATGGGAAGCCAAATTTGAAGTGAAATTTGAATTGACCGTGGGGACAGCTGGTCTCCATTGGGAACGGACAAATCCTAAGCGCCAACCACGTGGACGCTCTGAAAACCTCTCTCTCCCACGCGCCTGATGTGCGGGGAAACCACCTCTTCATCTTGATTGATCCCGTTGCTACACAAAAGTCCGACGACCAAATCCGGCGAAACCTCCGCCCCACTGCATCATTCGAAGCCCACCATTCCGACGGCGATTCTGCAAAAAAGGAAGCCCTTCCTTCCGCTTCTGATTGAAGATCCGTTTAAAGCACTCCGAATTACGAATCCAAAGTGTGTCCCTCCATTCTTTCCATACCTGGAATTCTGCCATTTCTTTTTTCCCCATGGATTCCCACCGCAGCCATTCTTTCTCCTTAAGCAAGTGCAAACCATCACCCCCTTCCAAGCTATCTGTCGTTGGAACAAGCTCAGGAGGCTTCTCCTCCCAAATAAACACCTTATAGCAAAACTGATCATTGTGAATGAACACAAACGGAGGGCAAACCCGACCATCAGCGACTGTAATACGGATTCTTTCAGCGTCCAAAGCTTCATCAGCTTCCACCCAAATAAACCCACCACAAAGATCACCAACTGTCACGAACAAAGCATGACACCAGAGATGGAGAGGAAGACCGTACAGCGTCACCTTCTTCAGCCCCTTCTCTTTCAACACTTCCGAGCACCCAACCCTAAAGCTCCAAGCCTCCAAACAAAGAGATGCCGTACACCAGTCACGGCGACCCCCTTTAAGAACACGAGAGGCTTCCGTCGATGAGGGAAACCGGAAAAGCAACAAAGAATCCGGTAGAGTTGAGACCGTCACTCCTGCGGAGATCTTCCAAGTACGCTCGGCCCAAGCTGCAATCTGAGCCCCGTCACCTACTTCTTTGTCAAATTTCCCAACCAGACACGATCGAAGATCTTCTCTTCTTTTTCGTACCGAATCATCATCCAGGAAAATCGATGGGCCTCTATACGGATTTGCAGATCTAGCAGATCTATAAGAATAATATTATTCTTATAAAGTGCTTAACTTATGCTGCAAGTGACGTTTATTAAAGAAAAATGTGGTGGATTATAATATAAACATAGTAATTGTCCTAGATAGCTAGATGTTAGATGTCTCAATATCAGGGGAGTATTGGCAAGCAACTTCTGTGTTGTCTTTATGGAAAATGTAGAATTTGGAATTTGTTTTGTTTAACAGAACTCTCATTCCTCTTCGTGAGGAGCACAAGAAGCTCAATTTTTTTTATTTTTATTTTTTATTATTATTTTTTTATGCAGATTCATAAGTTACCCAAAATTAATCTCCGTCTCTCTCTCTCTCTCTCTCACACACACACACTGTGCAACCCTTTCTTAGAGCTGGCAGCATGTGCCTCATTCATATTATGTTGTGCAATTATTCATTGTTAATAATTGAGGACGCTTCATCACTATGAAACTCCCAAGTTCTTCTAAGAAAGAGTTTAAGTTCAGTTTTATATGTTTGCAGGTAGCTGCTGTCCCTGAGGATGTTGGAACTGCTGGTGCTCTTCGGGCCATTGCAGGTCATCTGACTGCAAACGATATCTTGGTTGGAGTTCTCATCTTCTACAGTGTTTGAGTTCAAGAAAAAAAAAGGTTATTCTTTTTTTTTTGATAAGTAATAATAGATTAAAAAGGCGTTCAAAAGGGGAACGCGTCCCTAAAACAATAATCGGGGACTAAGGCCCCAAAGAATCCAGAAAAGAAATTAAAGCATCAGAAGAAGAGCAAGAACTCCTCTTCACATAACTAAAGAGAGAGCGCATAATAACAAGTTTTAGTGTTGCTGTAGACAACTCTTTTCCTTCAAACATTCTATTATTTATCTCCTTCCAAATGCTCCACCATACGCAATGTGGGACATTTCTCCAGAAATTGCGCACACCTCTGCTCACGCGACATCCTCTCCAGGCATAAATCAAATCCTTAGTAGAACGTGGCATTACCCAACACATGCCAAACAATCCAAGAATAAGATTCCAACAATCGTATGCCACTGGGCAATGCATTAGAAGATGATTAACATATTCTCCATCTTGCTTACAAAGGCAGCACCAATTAACAATACAATTTCCTCTCTTCCTCAAATTATCAATCGTCAGAATCTGACCCCACAAAGCTGTCCACACAAAGAATGCCACCCTACTAGGTGCCGAAGAGCGCCATATAGTTTTCCAAGGGAAGACAAAGCTAACAAAATTAGACAGACATAAGAACAAAGATCTTACTTCAAAACGACCGTGAGAAGAGGGAATCCATATCAAATTATCATGCCCCCTACCAATTCCTTCTTGCTGATACAATTGGTCCAGAAAAAAACTCACCTTGTTCAACTCCTAGTCCTGAAATGACCGCCTAAAGTGCACATTCCACGTAATTCCACTATTATCAAGCCGATAACAGTCAACCACGTAAGCATGTTTGTCAACTGCAATACTGTATAATCTGGGAAATGTGCGAGTTAATAGCTGATCCCCACACCAAAGATCTTCCCAGAAACGGACGCATCTACCATCGCGAACTTTGAATCTAATATGAGAAGAAAAAGCATCCCAACCCTTCTGAATGAATTTCTAAGCCCCAACTCCTCCCGTAATATAAACCGGGCGTGTAGTCCAACTGCCAACGTCTTCCCCATACCGACACGATACTAGCCTTCGCCAAGGACGTTGCCTTTCCTTTCTGAACTTCCACAACCATTTGCCCAACAGAGCTTGATTAAAAGGAATCAATCGTCTAATACCAAGACCACCCAACTTCATAGGCTTGCAAACTCGCTCCCATCTGACAAGGTGATACTTGAACTCTTCTCCCCTTCCGCCCCAAAGAAAATCCCTTTGAATTTTTTCAATCCTTTCAGCAACGGAGCAAGGAATTTGGAACATAGAAAGAAAATATATGGGAAGACTAGATAAAGTGCTCTTAATAAGAGATATTTTGCCCCCCTTTAACAAATATTGCTTTTTCCATTCTGCCAACCTCTTTACATACCCGTCGAGAACAGAGTCCCAACTCCCCACTAACCTTGAGGAGACCCCTAAAGGCAAACCCAAATAAGGAATAGGAAAGGAACTAACCTTGCAACCAAGTACTGCAACCAAATAAGAGATATCCTGAACATTCCCAATCCAGACAAGCTCACTCTTAGCCACGTTAACCTTTAGCCCGAAAACCGCCTGAAAACATGCTAGAATGCACCTCAATATCTAAGTTGAGACACATTTGCATCACAAAAAACCAAAGTGTCATCTGCAAATAGCAAATGAGAAATCTCCACCTGATGGTCAATATCTCTTCCCACTCTGAATCCCTTAATGAGCCCAAGATTCTCTGCCCTACGCATAAGTTTGCTAAGGCCCTCCATGACAATAAGAAAGAGGAAAGATGACAATGGATTACCTTGTCTTATTCCCCGAGAACACCCAAAAAAAACTAGCAGGAGAACCATTCACAAGAATTGAAAACTTACAGACGAAAGACATGTCTCAATCTATTTCCTCCACTTGCTTCCTAACCCCATTCTTTGTAGCAAATAGAGGAGAAAATTCCAATTAACATGATCATAAGCTTTCTCAATATCAAGTTTGCATAGAACTCCGGGAACACCACTGCGCAATCTTGAATCCACACATTCGCCTGCAATAAGAACTGAATCAAGAATTTGCCTACCTCCAACAAACGCATTCTGGGAGTCTGAGCTAATCCCATCCATAACTTCTTTCATCCTTTGAGCAAGCACCTTAACAATAAGTTTGTAAATACAACCCACCAAACTGATAGGACAAAAATCCTTAATGTTAGAAGCGCTTCCTTTCTTTGGGATGAGGGTAATAAATGATGCATTTAGCGACTTCTCAAAGACACCAGAAGTATGAAACTCCTGAAAGGTACCCATCACCTCACCTTTCACAACCGTCCAGCTTTCCATCAAAAAACGCAAAGTAAACCCATCAGGCCCCGGCGCTTTATCCCCATTACAACTTGACAAGGCTTTTAGAACTTCTTCTTCAGTGAAAGGAAGCTCTAACCCATCTCTCCCCAACTCAAAGATATCCTCAAAAGGGAGTCCATCAAGTTTGGGTCTCCAACCTAAAGGTTCTGTGTAAAGCTTCTGATAAAGAGAAACTATCTTATTACGCACTTTTTCCTCCCTCCACAGCTCCCTTCCACCCCGAATGCGTCCAATGTGATTACTCCTTCTATGAGCATTAGCTAATCTGTGAAAAAATTGTGTTACGATCCCTCTCTTTCAACCAAAGAGCCCGAGATTTTTGACTCCACGAAATCTCTTTTATACTAGCAATCTCAGCAAGAGCTGCCTGACAGGAAGTTCTCCTAGTGTAAAGAGACTCCATAACTCCACCCGCCTCTTCAAGACGATCAATCTCAGAAATTTCAGCAAGGGCTCTGTTCTTTCTCCATTCGAGATTCCCCAAAACATCCTTATTCCACTGCTTCAGATTGAATTTGAGAGCTCTTAACTTCTGTGTTAATATGAAGCTGGGTGCTCCAATAACCAACGCTCCGTCCCACCAAGATTGAACTTTCCCTTGGAAATCTTCCGATCTCAACCACATATTCTCAAATTGAAACGGGGTTCTACGAGAACACAAACCTCCACAACCCAAGACCAGAGGAACATGGTCTGAAACAACCCTTGCTAAGACCGCCTGAACAACATCCGGGAAATTTTCTTCTCACTTCCCAGAGATCAGAAATCTGTCTAGTCTTGAGAGAGTAACTGGATCCCTGCCACTAGACCAAGTAAAGGTTGCGCCTTCCATTGGTAGATCAATGAGAAGATGCTCATCAATGAAGTCAGAAAACTGACATCTAAAGACCTCCTTCCCTCAATAGACCTCTCTGACGGGGACCTAACAGAATTGAAGTCCCCACCCAGACACCAAGGGAGAGGCCACATTCCTTGAACATGGCTTAGCTCCTCCCAAAAAATAGGTCTATCATTATCAACAAGCGGTCCATAGACCCTAGAAAAGACCCATCTGAAATCATTCTCTTCCATTTTAAACTCACAGGAAACAGAAAATCTCCCCATCCACACATCCATTCTAGACGACCATTTGCTATCCCACATAATTAAAATTCCACCCGAAGAACCTATAGCATCCAAAGCCTCCCATTCCACAAATCTTCCTCCCCACAAACTTTTTACCACCCCGTCAGAAATGGATGCCAACTTGGTTTCTTGCAAACAAACCAACCTGAAGTTGAGGTTGGATTGAATACGGAAGGAAGGACTGCTTTCTATTCTGATTCAGGGAATGATGATCCAGGGGAATGCGCAGTTAAGGATTCATCTGAGGGGGTTACGGTTTGTGTGGGGAGGGATCTTCATTTTCAGTTATCTAATGCTGAGGCTTTGGCTCTGTTTAAAGAACTCCGTTTGCATGTAGCCTTAAAAGGCCTTCGCTTGCCTTCTGAAGGGGATGCGGAGAATGAATCGGTTAGTCTTTTGCGTGTAGCTTTGGAAGGTCTTACTGTTTGCCAACTACAGGGACAGAGGAAAATGCACCTGTTAGATATTTGGCTAATGGAGTAGAAGACTATGTCACAGGTTCGGTGTTTGATAATGGGGGAGATGTTGAAGACGATGATGACCTCAGTTCTATCCAACAGGTTTACTCTAATGAGCTAGCCCCTTGGTTGGAGGATGAATGTGCAAATGTGGAACCCCTGGCTGTTTTGCAACCTGATTCTTCTGCAGATATGGGAAAGGACTGGGTGATTGATAATATAGGAGCCACTAGCGAGCTGTTGGGTGTCTAATCAGAGGGTAATAATGATAAGACTTTATCTATCCTTCATGATATAGTGGAAGGAAGAGAGATTGCTGTGACCGCTGAGGTAAATGCTAGGCCTCTATTGTATTGGAAGGGGGCACAGGAGATCAAGAATCTGATTTCTGAAGTTAATTATGAAGGGAAGAAAGGGGTGGTGAAGGAAAGGGGGAGGACCAGAAGTAGGAGTTTAAAGAAGGGGGGAGGGGAGTTACTCTTATCTGGTTGTTAATGAAGCTACGAATTATTACTTGGAATGTTCGTGGTCTTAATGACCCGAATAAGAGGAGGGTGGTGAAGGGTTATTCTACTACAACTATTAGTTCTTTATGCTTATGCAGGTTGTGAGTGGTGATCTTGTTTGTGATGTTCCTCCTGGGGCAGTGGTGGCCACCCATAGACGACATGATGCAGTGGTTACTTCAGTGCTCTACTCTGCTCCTGTCACTGGACCATCAGATACGGGTTCCTCTGGAGGAAAGGACAAAGCCAAGAAACCAGGACGATACAATATTATAGGGCTGGACGCCATGAGACAGTTTCTACTGTATATTGGAGGTTCTCTAATTTCTAAAATTAGACATGTAATCTGAAATGTTCCGTTACTTTGCATCATGTGTTACTCTTGATAGGAGCTGAAGTCGAGAAAGATGTTAGAGTTCAAAAGAGCATTCTCCGGGCAGTAGGCCAGGTAAATGGATTTCTTTGTGTCACTCTGTTATTTTACTTCTGAAAAAGTCCTCTTGGAGTGACAACTGATGCAACAACAGTTGAAAATTTTCTGTCTGTTGGTTTTTTCCCCTTGTCATTACTTGTATTTTTTCCCCTACTTTGGGATGTATTGTTTGCCATTGGGAGGGGTAACTGAGAGCATTTAATTGCATTTGCTTATTGAACTCTTTTCCCATCCCCTAGTTTGTATGCCTCATTAGTTGTGAATGCTTTTGTGAAAAGTTATTTTCTACCTTTCTCTTCCTGGCATCTGCCTGCCGATGAAATATATTAACCATCAATTTGAGAATTTTCAACCATTCATACCTTTTCCTACTTCCTCTCCTTTTCCTCCGACTTTTGAGTTATCTTGTTTTCTCTGTTTCTTTTCCTTTAAAAAAAGATGAGCATCCAATTGGAAAATCCCCCAAAATATTACAAATTTTCCCTTGGTTCTCAGGCTCTCTTTTTCATCCTTGTGTAGATGGAAATTCGTGCCCATCTGATGGACGCTCATTTATATGCATTCAAGAGGTTTGAAGTTTCGTTCTTTGCTTCCATGTATTTTTTACCTTCAGTCATCTCAAATTGTTTTTGCTTTGTCTATTTCTCACTACTGTTTGAATCTCTTGCAGATCTGCTCTACGAGAAGTTCTTGATCAAAAGGGGAGTTACCAAAGCTTAAGGCAAGATGTACTGCCTTATCTTGTCAGGAGCCAGCTGGTTAGTTTGACGTGACACCTGCATGATCTCTCTCTCTCTCTCTCTATATATATATATATATATATTTATTTATTTTATTTGACATGACACCTGCATGATCTCTCTCAAAAGGGGAGTTACCAAAGCTTAGGTTGGAGCATAGTTGTCAAAAGCGCCGAAGGCGCACGCCCGAGGCGCAAGGCGCCTACAGGCGCAAGTCCTGCGCCTTTGTATGCATAAGGCGATGCCCTTTGAGCAGGCGTGCGCCTTTACATAAGAGGCGAGAGGCCCCGGGCGTAAAAAAGGCCCGCCTCCTTTAATTTGTTAGTATTTTGTTATTATTTGCTGTTTGTTTATTATTTATTATTTGTTTATTATACTTTTTAGACAACTTTACTAAAATAAAAGAATAAATAAACGCAAAAGGAAAGTGCAAAAGTGAAGTGAGTCGGTTAGGGCTGAGAAACTTTGAAGCAAAGAGAAAGACAGAGGCTTGCGATTTGAAGGCTTGAAGCAAAGACACGATCTGAATCTGCCGACTCTCTCACGAATCACAATCCGAATCCAGGTAAGTTACTTTTCTCTCCTTCTTCTCTCTTCTTTTCTCTCTCTTCGGCATATTCTACTCTCTTCTTCTGCAGATTCTTCTCTCTTTTTTTCTCTCTTCTTCTTCTTCTTCTTCTTCTCTCTTTTTTTCTCTCTTCTTCGGCAGATTCTTCTTCTTCTGCAGATTCTTCTTCTTCTTCTCTCTTTTTTTCTCTTCTCTTTTTTTTCTTCTCTCTTTTTTTCTCTCTTCTTCGGCAGATTATTCTCTCTTCTTTAGCAGATTCTTCTTCTTTTTCTTCTTTATAGCAAACTTTCTCTGTGCACAGTTTTTTTTTTTAATATTTTTTTTTTAATGAAATATGTGTCTTCGTTTCTTTTCTCTTTTGAACTGAACTGTAAGTTTGGAACTAGACTGCAGCTCTGTGTCTTCTTTTCCCTCTTTTTTTTTTTTTTTTTTTTTTTTTTTAATGAATTGAACTGGAAGTTTGGAACTGGACTGCAACTCTCTGTCTTCTTTTCTTTTTTTATGAACTGAACTGGAAGTTTGGAACTGGACTGCAGCTCTGTATTTTTTTTTAATTGAAATGTTAATATTGCTTTGAAATTGAAATCTGGTTTTGCTAATTGACATGAAATCTGGTTTTGTTAATTGAAATCTGGTTTATTTTGTTACAACACCAATAATTGACATGAATTTATTTTGTTATCTTGAATTTGAATGTAGTTTGTACTTTAAAAGATGCCTAGTATTTTATTGTCTATGTTTGTTTTAGTTTTATCTCATAATTCTCATTAGTTGACTTTTGCATCTTTATATTATTATGTTTAATTATTTACTGTTGAACTCAAATACTTGATTTAGTTGGCTTTGGCATCTTTATGTTGAATATTCAACTTAAGTAATTGATTTAGTTGACTTTTGAATCTTTATATATAGGTTTTTTTTTTTTTTTTTTTTTTTTTTTTTTTTTTTTTTTTTTTTAACGTGCGCCTTGCTTCAGTCGGGCGTGCGCCTCGCCTTGCGCCTTGCGCCTCAGGCTCCAGGAGGCCTTTGCGTTTTTGTGCGCCTTGAGCCTTTAACAACTATGGTTTGGAGCAGGTTATGTTGTTACTGCTAGCAGTGAGCACGAGGGGGAATCCTTGGCGAGGAAAGAGAAATTCCAATCTCAATGACCTTCCCTATCGCTTCCCTTGTATCTCCTTGGTTTTTTCAGTAGTTGTGCTGCTGTTCAGTGAGTGAGTCTGGGCCTCTGTATTCTTTTTTCCTTGGGGAGGAATAGATCAATATCAGTTTTGCCAGTTATTTCCTTAGTTTTCTTAGGTTGATTGGGATGCCACCTTCATACTGAATGAATGTGTCTGTCTAGATTAAGTTCATAGTACAATCATAAGCTCCATGAATAATTTTTTGTAATGAGATTCAAATAATCTGCAATATTTTCCATAAAAACAGTAAGGTTGCATTTGGTTCACTGATATCCAAACCGGATAAAAGAAATTGAAGATTTCCTTTACAATGTTTCTGTTCCTTCATTATCCATGAATCAAATTGAATCTAAATGATAATCATGTTGGTTTGAAAACCAAAATCAGTTGGCAAGTGTCTTGCATTCCGGTACAATATACTCTTCTCTCATCTCATAACATAAGCAAAGTAAAGAACCCAATTTAAACGCGTCCAGCATTCACAGAGGATATCGGCTACTTGAAAGATGTGAAGAAGCTGACTATGTCATTAAGAGCATGAATGAAGTCATCAACGTCCTCTTTTGTGTTGTAAAAGTGAAGGCTTGCCCGTGCACTTGCATTTATTCCTAAAAATCGACGGAGAGGCTGTGCGCAGTGGTGACCAGATCTAATAGCTACTCCATGCTGAAACAGAATATGCTCCTTGTCATAAAATCCATTTTCCACAACATTTCAAAAGATTCTTGGGTAAATTCCACTTACCTCCCCTGAAACATTAGAATAATATGCAACACATTTTTCTGGAATTTTTTGTTTTGCGAGTGCATTTTCGTCTTTTCTCATTTTGCGTACTGGACACCGTGGAGTGTGCCGGGTGTGTCCGAGAGTTAGTTAGGGCATTCCTTTGAGTTCAGGACTTAGAAATGCAATGGTTGCCATTTCGGCATTTTTTCGTTTTCCGGACCAGAAAGTCCCGGGCGGGACCCGCTACCGGAATTGTTGTGCACTGGAGTCGTGTCTCGGGTCATTTGCATACCATGCATAATTATTTTGTGCCTAAGTAAATTGTTTAAGTGCTAAATGCTGAATTGGGTAGTTGTATTGTAATTAGAGCATGTGTTTGAATTTGTGATAGAAAATTAAAAGAAAAAGATATTTTTTAAGTAATGGGACCCACCACTACATTGTTTAGTGGCCAAAAGGCCACATTTGGCCTCACATCTTCTCTCTCCCCGTAAAACTCTCTCTCCGTAAAACTCTCTCCCTCTCATTTCTTCGATTTTCTTTTTTCTTTTCTTCGCAAAATTTCAATCCTTGTTTACTTTCTCAATTTTGAGAATTTTTGGGTGCTGTTTGTGGCAAAACGGAGAGCTCGTCAAGATTTACACGTAGATACAAAGAATTCACCATTTGGCTAACCCTAGGAAGTTCAAAAATTCTAGGGATTTTTGGGGGTTTTTACATCTTTTTGGGGATTTTATCATTTAGGGATTTCGAAAATTCTTCTTTTTGGGGGTTTTATCATTTAGGGATTTTTTGGGGATTTTTGGAAATTTCGAAAATTCGAATTGTTGATCCACAGAGGACAAAACTGAACCAAACCATAAAGTTTGTATTGGACTGACGATTTTAATGGATCCATGTGCACATCTAATTACTAGACAATGCACAAATAGATAATTGAACATCTTCTCACCCCTTTGCATATGCGGGATCAGTTAATTACTGCGTCCTCTTCATTAGGTTGTTAATTGTTGAGATTTTTTGAGAACTAATATCTGTAGAAAATGATTCTTTTGAAAGGGGCTGTTGTGTGTCATTAATATTGTCAAGGGAATCTTGCCAACCCTCAACTCCCGTAGAAAAATCTCATTTTAAAGGATCCTTACATAACCAAATCTATTTCAAAGAATTGACCCACACTCCACAACAATAATTGAGAATAGATTTGTAATGACCCGAACAAGTGTGTCCAAACCGTTAACTGGGTCTTTATCCGAACCTGAGGTCACTTGAGTCATTCCCATCATGTCTAGGGTCAAAACCTCATTCATGCTTCACAAGGAATTCTAATCAACATCACAAGGCTCTAGGTGGATCATACTGGAACAAGGAACAAAGAAAGACCAAGCAGCATCAGTTCGGTCGACCGAAGCAACCCCCCCCCCCCCCCCCGCGCGCGCGCGCGCGAACCGGTCGGCAACCGGTTGTGATCCCTACAGTAGCTGAGGCTAATGGAAGAACCGGTCGGCCAAAGTGCCCATTTCTTCGAACTGTGGTTCAGCCACTAGAAATATTGAGAATGAGGAAATGAAAAAAATGGGCTATGTGGAGGCTTGCACCCTGTTCTAAACCAGTTCTAATACTCTACAATTGACAAAGCTACATGCCACAATTATAAACACCATCATTTAGATACAAAGCACCTTCATTTACCCCATTCAACTAAGAATTAATAATAGTCTTTACATTTTATCCAAATTTACATCAAAATAGGATCAAAACTTACAATTTAATTACAAGGCCATGCTATGTAACTTAATACATTTCAAAATGATACTTTTACAAAAGAAAGAGGCTCAAAACATAAAAAATAGCAAAATGAACTTCAATTCCCCCTTCAAGCTTGTGGTGGGTTGTCATCCGCCACTTCTTTTTAGAGACCTAAAAAATGTTAATATAAAGGGGTGAACAAAATTGCTAAGTAGGTGGTGCCTAAGACATACCTCTTGTGACCCCGTGAGTCCAAGCAATGAATAGGAATAAAGGATAGGGATCATGCTATGCCGGGGAAGAATACAACATCAATTTCAAGTCCAAAAATGAACAATGTGGTATTATGAAATGCAATGCCATGCTATGTCGCTCCCCATTTTCAAAATCACTTCCATTCATCACTTTTCAAACCGTTAACATAACTGTCCCACGGTGACCCCATGACGACACGAGAGAAGGATTGGCTACTGTCCCTGACCCATGGTACCCCCGTGGCGTCATTTGGGGCCTAGATAACTCAACCACGCTGGGGTGATTTCCCATGTTCCCTCTAGGTCACATTAACGCCACGGCCCCTCGGTAACCCCTCTGCGACCGGGTTTTCGCAAAACCCTTTATCAAATTTTTTCCCAAAAAACCCATTTCTTTCATTTTAAAACAATTTTTCCCATTTCTTACCCAATGATATGTATGAATGTCTCATGCTTCCTAACAATATATATATATATATATATATATATATATATATAACTCATAATGTCCATACCGTGTACAGAATGCTGTCTTCAAGATATCCTCATCCCTATCCCGTAATTGATAGTAGCCCGACCTCAAGTCAATCTTCGAAAAACAGCAAGCTCCCCCCTCAACTGATCAAATAAATCATTTATCCCCGACAAAGGATATTTGTTCTTAATGGTGGCATGATTTAACTTCCGGTAATCAATGCACAACCTCATAGAATCATCTTTCTTCTTAACAAACAAGACCGGTGCGCCCCACGGTGACACACTCGGTCGGATGAAACCTTTCATCATCAAATCATCAAGCTGTTTCTTCAATTCTTCCAACTCCACCGGTGCCATACGATACGGTGCCATAGAAATCGGTGCAGTACCGGGCATCAAATCAAAAGTAAACTCCATTTCTCGATGTGGAGGCAACTCTATCAAATCCCCCAGAAAAACATCCAAAAAGTCACGAACAACTACCGGATAAACCTCTACTGCAACACCATCTTCTTCGGCTAAAAGATTAGCCAAGAAGTAATCACCACGACCCCGTCCATGAATTCCATAAAACAATGATGTGTGGGAATCACTCCGATTTCCCATGAAAAAGAAGCAATCTCCCTCGGGAGTACAAACTGTGACTCTTCCTCTGAAACAATCGATCGTAGCATGAAATAAAGCTAACCAATCCATCTCAAGAATGGCATCAAAGCCAGTAATCTCAAGGAAGATGAGGTCAAACACAAAAGTTCGTCCGGCTATCACGATGGAACAATCCCTCACGACTCGGCTCAAATACACTGAAACCCCAACTGGCGTATCAACACATAACGCCCAATCCATGAAACTGGCCTCTAACCCCAATGCAAGTGCAAATGATGATGAGATGAAGGAATGAGATGCACCAGAGTCAAACAGAACATGGGCCCAAGAGCCAAACACTAGGAAAATACCTCGGAGAACTGATGGACCAGAAGATGCATCATCCTGAACAACTGCATAGACACGCCCCTGAGAACTTGTGTGCCTGAGAACTGTCAACTTGAATACTTGACTGCTGCACTGACATAGCAGGAGTATCCCTCCTAGCTGGCCGTGAACCCTGTGAAGACATAGCAGGTTGTGGTGGCGGCGGTGGCCTAAAACCTGACTGAGCTGTAGCCTACTGTGATCCTCTGCCACTATCGATACTTGCTCCCCGATTTGGACAATCCCGAATTATATGGCCTTGATGGCCACACCCATAACAAGCTTTCGATGCTGCAGAAACTACAGACGGGTACATAGGACATTTGGACTTGAAATGTCGAGGCTGTTGGCACTGAAAACAAACGACCCCACTCTTATCTGACCCAATTGACATAAGAGTAGTAAAAGCTGATCGTGCCGACTGCTGCCCCTGAACCTGAGACGAACCACCCCTGTTCTTCTTCCATGACTGCCCCTCTGATGATGCCCTGCATTCCTCTTTTGCTTCCACTGTTCCCTTCCTACATTTTTATCTTTTGCCTCCGCCTCTAGCATCAATGCTCTTTCCACTGCCTCTGAATACACCTTGAAGTACTGTGCTGCTATCAACGGCCTTATTTGGTAATGAAGACCGGAAACAAACTTTCGAGTCTTGTCAGCCTCATTTCTCACTATTTCAAGAGCAAAGCGAGAAAGAGAGGTAAACTTGTTCTCATACTCTGTCACCGACATATTGCCTTGTATGAGATCGTCAAACTGCTTCCTTAACTCCCACCTCTTGTTAATCGGAAAGTACTTCTCATAAAACAGCTCATTGGACATATCCCAACTCATATCGTCTAGCTTGTGCTGGTTAATGACCGACTTCCACCAAAGCTTAGTGTCCTTAGAAAACTTATAAGTGGCTAAGATGATCTTCAGCTGATCGTCCGACACATTCATAGAAGTCAAGTAGCTTTCCACTTGATCGAGATAATCATCCGCTACCATCTGATTTGCGCCACCCTCAAACATCACTGGCATGAGCTTCACAAACCCAGAAATCAACTTGAGACGTTTTTGTACTTCTGTCTCCTCTGTTTGAACCACCGGTTGTGGTACCGGCTGCTAAAGAGAAGCAATTGTATCCTTCAAGGCACTTTGCAACAAACGATTCAGTGCCAGTTTCGCCGAACCTTCACCCTCTTCAATGGGCATCACAACATCGTCCCTTCTAGTGGAGACACCTTTCGGGGGAATCAAGTCCCTAAGAAGTGTATCCTCTTCAACTAGCTCCGCGGGATTAGAGCTAGAGCTTTCACCAACATCACCCCTTGTCGGCCTAGGGCCCCCTTGGTTCCTTTCGCGGTGGCATCGTGCTAAAAAAACGAGAAAACAGTTCAACGACAATGACGCTAAGGTCCAACCGAGAACGACTCAACACAACACGACACTATACTAACACTAGCATGCAAGGCTATGCAAGAAACACATTAACATAAACACATA